ACAGCATGCAAGTTGACGGTTTATGCGCTGAAGGGGGTGATTTCACAGGCTTTGACGAAATTAATCGCCTTCGTTTCAGGTTTGAAACTACTAACACTGATTGCTGCAGCCACTGCTTCGGTCAATGACTTAAGTACCTGGTTTTGTCTCCATCAGTACCTCCCATCACCAAAGACCCTCGGAAATGCGCTTAGAATGTGTTTCAGCGTACCTTTCCTGGTATAGAGTAAGCATGATGATGTTTCACTCTGTCCTCAAGTATGCAAGTCTGTTTGACTCGATAATATACATTAATACGGATTGAACAAGAACTTTAATCCGACTGGCGTCAAAGTGCCAGATCTCCGACAAACTTATTTTCCGCCACAAAAAATTCTTCCATTCTTCATACACCCTGTTGGCTTAGTCCCACTATCTTGCATATTCTTTTTCTTTCTTAAAGTTGGCTCGGACTTCCTCCTAAATTAGTTGCCGTCTCTGCTTATCGCTGTTTTTTTTTTTTTCGATTCGGGTTCTAGAAAAGAAGCCTAGGCCAGCATGAACTGTTGCCACCGTCAATATGAAAGACTTCTGTCTTAAACGCTCCTCCACTATACTTAGTTCACTTCCTGCACTCCATTTCTCTCCAATGCGGAACTCGATACCTCCTGCCTTAGAGTACCTATACTGTAAGAATTCTCTTGTCCGAGAGACCAAAAATTCCTCCACCAAACCTTTAAAGTGGAGTTGCGGCGCATTTGAGTTGCCATATACCGCAGCACTGATCAGAGTTCTTGGCAGCTCTAACCATCTGCGGTGGTAGCCGTTAATTCTCCTTTCCATGGCTTCCATTGATGTCACTGGGAAGTCAAAGATAAAGGCCAGATAATTCTGGGGAGCACAGTGTACTGATTAATCCACTCCTTGAAACGGCGTGGAAGTCCGGATTTGTCCACTTTGGCTTGCCACAATTCCAGTTCAGAGATCGTCGCTCGGATGGTCGAGATATCCTTTAAGGAGCTGTTAAAAAATTTCCCAAGTTGTTCATGGGTCTCTCTCTCTCTCTCTCTCTCTCTCTCTCTCTCTCTCTCTCTCTCTCTCTCTCAACGTAGTGATGTTTGTTCCCGATATCGAGAAACGGAAATTATCCGCTACTTTTCCCTTCTTCATAACGTACGACCTCGATTTAGCAGGTTTGAAATTCATTCTAGCCGAAGGTATAAGTTTTTCAAGTTTGTATAGGATCCACCTACTCACCGTGACCAAAGATGTTGTAATGATCAGGTCTTCTATGTACGCATTGATCGGTGGCTGACTCACTCCTCTCTTCATCAGACACTCAATTTCAGCTGATTTAACCACCATATTTATGACAAGAGTAAAGAAAATAGCTGAGATCGTACAGCTAGTAATGATGTCCCTCTCGTATGTTGGAAACTATAAACCTGGACGAGATTCTCATCTTAAAGTTCTTATAGTCTAGGATTAATTGGCTGATTTTACTGGGTATATGGCCATCTTCATAGGGCTTCTTATACTAATTTATGTCGAATGGTCCCGTATGCGTTTGGTAAGGTCTAACCACAATGGGACGAGGTCGCGCCTACTTTCCTTGGCTTCTCTCAATATCTGCTTGATGACTCCAGTATGTTCGAGGCATCCAGGAAAGCCAGGAATTCCACACTTTCTGTCCTGAAGTGTCGGTGTAATTATTCACCAGAAAAATACATAATTTTATTTATATATATATATATATATATATATATATATATATATATATATATATATATATATAATATAATTATTCATTCGAAAATTATAACATAAAATCACTATAAAATAGCTATTTTGTTTCAACACCTCTGGTGTCTTATCAAGTGATGATGTTGAATGTATAATAAAGGGTTTTAAAAGGTTCAAATCAAACATACCTCATAATAATAATAACATATATATATATATATATATATATATATATATATATATATATATATATATATAAAGTTGCAAATTAAAAAATAATAATGTTTTATTTTATGAAAGTATTTATTTATTTATATATATATATTTGATATTTCAGATTGCCTCAATCTTTCATCAGAAATAACTGTTACAAATAAATTAAAATTACATATTAAGAAAGTATACGTGGCTTCTCATTATGCTATATATATATATATATATATATATATATATATATATATATATGTGTGTGTGTGTGTGTGTGTGTGTGTGTGTGTGTGTGTTATTATTATTATTATTCTGATAAATATCATATTTTGTGGGAACACGTATTTGAGTAGACATCTTTGTCTTTTAATAACTGGCAAAATTCTTCCATGCATTTCAACTGCAAGCGATAATAATAGCAAGATGCGGATTATTCCACACGACCTCAAATAAAAGCCAAAGAATGGAGTCACCATCAATGGAAAACGCAATGGCAGCTACTGGACTATTTTCCTGAATTTTTGTTAAGCGAAAGATTTTATAAATTTCAACCGACAGCAGCAATGACTGGTCGGTCAATGAATGCCGAATGTTTCCTTCTCAGGAAACGGCTAATATTACCATTACTATTACGATGTCAGTATTCACAAGTCACAATCAATATAAGTCGATTAAGTAGACTGAAATTCTGTCTTTGCTACAGTCGTCTCGCCTTTCTGTAGAATGATGAATGTTTGCATGTGTTTTAAATATCAGAAATGAATATCCTCTTTAATTTTATTTATTTTCTTTCCTATATAAAAAGTCAAGTAAAAATTTTATAACATTTTTAGCCCCATCTTCCATTATTAGAGTATATATTGCATAAATTACTCTCTAAAATATTTTTTTATAGCGATAAGACTTTTGTTTACAATTTATATTCACTTGTAATATATAACTCTTATACAAAGTCTACTTTTTTATTATTATTATTATTATTATATATATATATATATATATATATATATATATATATATATATAGTACACTGCTACCAGCAAAAAAAGAATTTTTTTCTCCTGATGATTACCATTTTGGCCGAAACTAGTCCAGGAATCTAAATGAAATAATAATAAAAATGAAAGAATATTAATATACAACCCAGTGAGTCTGAAGATTTTAATTTTTTAATATTTTTTATTGTTCAATATATATATATGTTTAATCCACTTTTTAATTGTAATGTTCAAACAAATATCAGAAGAATTTTCATAGAGTTAATTCATAAGCACTTTAATTATTCACCAACACTAAAAAAGATTTTTAACAAAAATAATGTTAAGATCAGCTATAGTTGCATTAGTAACATCGATAAATCTTTATCCCATCATAACAATATTGTATTAAACAGATATATAATTTTTAACAAATAAATGCAACTGCGGGTAAAATATGATCTCTCCCTTAAACGGCCAATGTGCGAATGATAATATTGTATACCCAGCTAGCATATATTCCGGTAACGATGTCAAATTTTATCATGTCAATTTTTTTCCAATGAAAATCTTTGGAAATTTCGTTTCTACCATCATCGAATGACTTTACATAATATAAAATACATAAACAGCACTGCTCTCTCACAACATTTCTAGCAATTAAATAATAGTGGTAATACACCCATTTTTTTTCATGGGATATTATTGCTAAAAACGAATCTTACAATGGGGAAAGAGAATAGATGTAATTTATACCTTGTTGAAAAATTTGTTATTTTAAACACTTAAATGACCCTAGCTTATTAAACAAGAGAAATGAATTGATGGTTGCACGTAGGCATAAAAATAAATATCTTATTTTTAATCGGTATCACCCCATGTAAGGTAGTAAAGGCAGTAAAGCCACTAAAACACAAGATGTTACTCGGTGTGGAAGAATTAGGAACAGAAATAGTAATGAGCGGGAAGCCAAAAGAGTTCAAATTTTTGCAGATTAAAGATAATTGAAAAGTACGAAGCTGGGAGAAAGTTCCACAAGCGAGAAGTGTGAGAGAAGAAACTGTTAGAATAGAATTTATCTAGCCAACTCAACTGTAACTAGATGAAATCTCAACGCCAGTCTAGTACAGCGCTTAAATTCATAAAGTCTAGATATTATAGCGAAGAGCTCATCTGAACAATTGCTGCGGAAGTATTTATAGAAAAGACATAACGAGGCAACCTTACGGCGGTGAGAGACAGACTGAATCCGAGCTGCCAGATAATATTGCTGATTCTTTGGATTTTATTAAGGAGCTCATGGTAATTAGCAGGGTCACTGGACTATATGTGGCAGCAATATTCTAAGCATAGATGAATTATAACATCAATTCAACATGCCATGTTTAATGGATGTCATTTATCTCCTGTTAATTTCCCTCTGAAAGTTCTCCACTGCCTTAACCGAGTATTGAACTCACACTTTTTGGGTTCTGTCACCAACGCCTTTATTCACTGTGCCATGTGTCCTTGTAATAAATATTGTGAAGAAGATGGGGATAATAGTTCGAATAATGTAAATAATGTACATAATATCTCATCTCAGAAATATAATATATATATATATATATATATATATATATATATATATATATATATATATATATATATATATATATATATATATATATATATATATATATATATTTGGTACGTCTTATACTTTCGGTTAGAACTCTTCCATTTTTTTCCAGGACTCAAAACCGACAAAATCAGGTTATATTGGATATATTAGTTTACCGGGGAGATAGTATCTATGTAATGGCGTATTGCATCAAAGGGAAATAAATCTTTCATAATGTTTTTCTGAGCCCCATACGGCTCCGTACTTTTTCCGGATTACACTGCGTTTAGACACATACGTGAGCTTGGAAATCATTTAAACGTAAAAAAACAAAGTACATACAAAATGATGCATAATTTCTAATTAAAATCGTCAAAAACATTTTTTATGGAAACGCAATTAAGTACAGTTTCCCAATAAACACCTTTAGCAGTTTTGCAAACAGCCATTTACTGACGTTTTCGTAATGCATACCTATCAAAAATAAACAAAATGTCCCATTTCTTTTTTTGTTTTGTTTTTTTATTATTTTTTTCTCTTTCTTTTGCACAAATTTTTGTCATTTCTTTTTGCTCTAAAATCAGATGCATCTTATGAAAAGAAGCATTTCCCTGGAATTTTTTGCTTTTTAAACTGCATCTTATACTCCCTAGGAATCTATACACAAAGGATTACGGTATATAAAATTTAATTTTCAGATGAACTCAACAATTTTGTCTTATAGTATAATGAACACAACAGTTTTTTTTTTGTCCTAGAAAAAACAACACCCTGATGACGACATTGTACTAATATCGAAAGTACTCGGAATAAAATTAATATGCATCAAGATGGTAATTTTCTTTCTTCCTTTAATAAGGATACTAAGAAACTTGTCCGTAATTACGAGAGGATTCTATTAGAAATAAGTAGACAAAACTTGTCTAAATTATTTAATAAGACATGTCTTAATATATATATATATATATATATATATATATATATATATATATAATTATTTCCTTATTTTTAATCATATTACTCAAGGCAAGGAAATAATGTCACTAGGAAGCAGTGTTGCATGGAATGAAAGACAATGAAAAGACTTTAATGAGGGGCGGGCAATAAAGGGACAGAGCTCAAAAAGACAAAAGATGACGATGGATTTAAATCTTTGAAGATTATAGGTGGCAGGGAAGCAAGAAATCAGAAGGGAGTCTGTCCCAATATTATTTTGTGTGTGTATGTATGTTTATATGTGAGCCCGGAAGCTTAAGAACGATTTTCTAAGCGTTGATTAGATGCGACACAGGGCCTAAAGTATGGGGCATCCAGTGAGGTTCGAACTCACTATTCAGTCTTAGCATATATATCGAGACGAACTTGCTAACCATTACACCAGACCGAAGTCCACAAATCTGAAGCTTAAGGCTGGGTCATGAAAACAATTAAACCTATAACAAAAACTGAAAAATTGTCTCGGTTTGAGGTTTGAAAATCACGGTAAAGTCAACAAAAAAGTGTGCCACACAGTGAGAATCAAACCATTTACAAAGATAGTAATCTTCGAGACGAGCTGTGTGTCCACTGCTCCACGAGCGGTGTTTTTCCTATTTACTAAACTTGGCTTAGTACGGTACAAGGCCTCAAGTGTGGAGCACCGAGTGTGGATTTAACTTATTGCATCAGTAAAGATCTGCTCGACTAGCTTGCTAGCAACTACTCTACATCGAGATGATTTACATATTTATCAAGCTTGAATTACTCTATCACATGTTCACAAGTGCTGAACACCCACGGTGATTTGAAATCACGACTATGGTAAAGGTCTGTGAGATTCAAACTTCTCTGACCCTGCCAGAACTCGACTGTTGCTAAAATAAAATATAACATGCTCAATTCAATCCTCGGTTCCTCCAAGCAGTACTCTACCATAAGGAAAGGCTAGGGTTAATTTCAGGTGCTTGCAGTGTCTCCAAAGAGTAACTACAATGGCAGGGGGCTTGAGCAATTTGTGTCCTATGCACCACTTTAAAACCACATTTGAGCTATATTCTATTTAGTTGGGGGCGCTTATAAATGCGTACCTGGGGGTCAACATGGGCCATTAAGACCAGTTGAAGGATGATAAATGTGCCCTAAGTCCAGGGGTTTGTGTGTATGTGCGAACGCGTGTGTGGGTATTTACTGAGCTTAGTTTAGTCTGGCACAAGACTGTAAGTGAGTACTGGCCGCACTGTAGCAAAGTGGTTTGACTAGTAAGGACTAAGTCATGGCGAGGCTCTCTAGGTTCGTCCGCTTGCGCGCGTGTTCGTACGTTACTGTTGTTGTTGTGGCTGTTTTTGCTGTTGTTGTTTTTGTGAGGATGGATATGGGCTGGTGGGTGTAAAGATGCGCGCATGCGCGTCTATGTGTGACTCGTTAGGTACAAAGGCAAATAGATCATTTGTTTGTTTACACTTTGTGCTCTCAGCCGATTCTTTGTTTACTTTGGTCCCCACTCTCCCCTACCAACACCAGACTCTCTATCCACGCCTCTTCGTCTCCATTGGAAATCAGGGCTCAACGGACGTAAATGTTTGTTTGTACCACACAGGGAATGTAGGTGTAGAATTCTTGAAACGAGGGTAATAGCAATCTTCAACAGGCCATCTTTTCTTTTTTTGTTTTTGTTACTCCAGTTTCTTTATCTTTACTTATATTTATTTATATCACTTCATTTCTTCTTTACTATTTTGGTAGTTTTCTTTGGCAAGAGTGTGTTATTGAGAGAGAGAGAGAGAGAGAGAGAGAGAGAGAGAGTATGTGTGTGTGTGTGTGTGTTATAGAGAGAGAGGGAAAGAGAAAGGGAAGGAGAGAGAGGGGGAGAGAGTGGAATGATTGAAGAGAAGGGTGTTAGGTGTGTTGCGCTCGATAGAACGACTGTTTAATAAAAACAATAACAAAACGAACAAGAAAAGGCCAAAAGAAAAAGTAAATATATAGAAGGACAGATACGGAAGATGAAAAAAAGATATATACAGGATAAAGGAAATAGAGGAAAAAGAGTTTACAAAGAAAGAAAGAAAAGGTGAAAAAAGAAAGAAATTTAAAAAAAATGAAAAATAAAATAAAAATTAAGCTGAAAAGGATAAAATAAAAGAATGAAATAAAGGAAAGAAAGAAAGACTTAAAAAGTGAAAAAAAGAAAAATATGGTAAAATAAAAGGGAATTCAAGAGAAAAAAGGAAAAAGAAATGTTATAAGAATGACTATACATTAAGAAGGAGAATGTCAGAATAAACTACAGATGTTGGGAGGATACGGTTAATATTAAATGGAAATTTGTTTTGCTGCTTTACTGATGGAAAAGACACAAAATATGTTTACATAGGGAACGATAATTTCCTTTGGACATTTGTAAAAAAAAAATCATCTCTTGATTAACCACTTGGATTTAGAACTTAAAATTGTAACAATTTGTTGGTAGAGATGAGCACAATTATATTCACCTACGTCAGCGAGTCCAGTTGGTAGAGTTGGTAAGACGTATGCATTGTATCGAAACGGTTGGGGTTCGAATCACGGTAGGGGAGATACACTGCTGATGAATCCCAAAATATGAAGAAAAGCGCCGTCCACTGCTTCCTTTCTTTTTACTGCATTCTGCTGAACATTCTTCTAGATTCGATGAATTACTATAATGACTTGCCTAAATCCCCAAAATTCTATTACTTATATATATATATATGTGTGTGTGTGAACCGGTAACAGTAAATATACAGATAGAGAGATAATGCATGGAAAGAGAGAGTATGAACAGACTGGACTAGAATTAATGTATGAACATCGATAGATAGAAATATGTATATATAGTGAGAGAGACTTATATATATATATATATATATATATATGCGGTACTTACTGGAAAGTGCTCAATATCTATGATAGAGCTAACATATTCTGTTGAATGGATAGTAGTTTGTAGGTCCCACGTATCCATGCAATTGAATATATATATATGTGTGTGTGTGTGTGTGTGTCTGCCTCCTCCGGTTCTGATAAATCTTGGCATACACACACATACACACATATGTATCCATATATATGTATTAATAACTCGTTTAAGTTTTATACATGAGAACACACTTGGATAACATATAAAGAGATATATGAACGGAAAGACACATACTTGAGAATATTTTAATATGGACATGTAGACGGTAAGGAAAGAAATATACAGATAGAAATATAAATATCCTGATATATATATATATATATATATATATATATATATATATATATATATATATCATAGATAGATAGATAGATAGATATGAAAAAAAACTTATGTGAGTAGATAGGGAGAGAAACAATGTACGAACATAGATATAATGAAAAAAAAAGAAATTAATACGTAAGTACTAATAACCGATTAAATGCTATTCATTCATTCCGATGTTTGCTTTTTCAAGATGTCAAGTAAAATATTAATTTGCAATCAGTACCTTGCTAATTATTTTTCTTCACCTCAGATTCCATCTTCAGTCAGAAATCACTTTTTTTCATTAATATTAGTTGGCATTTTGGGGTGTAAATATTTTAAATAGAATCTCTCTGTCACCTATCATTCCCTCTAACTACCACTGACTGTCACATGTGCGACCCTCGTACCTGTTCAGATGATCTGCGTGTTTGTGCATTTGGATCTTTCTACATATTTATGTACATTTTCATGAGTGTTGTTTTTAGTATGTATTCACGTCTTTTCTTGCGTACGCGTGAATGGCTAGCCCAGATTTTTGGTACAACTCAATTAAATACCAATCGGAATGATGATCCTACTAAGGACAGACGAATCACCATTGTAGAAAACAAGGATCTTCAGGCTTTGTTCCAGACTAAGCAAAGTTTAGTAAATGACTATATAGCTAAATTCAATGCTAGATTATAGATTATGTTGTTTGCATACTTGGCAGCATGCATCGTAATTTACGGTACCATTTCGTCTGTAATTCTTCTTCTTTGCAGTCTCTTTGTAAATAAATTAAGGGTCATGGTTCGCGTGATCAAAGGACATTTCGTTCATGTTCAGTAACATGACGAGATTAAATGAAGGTACAATACTTTGCTAATGAATTAATCATTAAATAAACATCACGGAATCCTGTAACCAGTGCCATAAAGTGCAAGTGTGAGTTTAGCCAGGAATATCAATATCAATGTGACCTCTTATTCTCTGCCTTTTTAGATCTTCAGTGCGGTGGGAACAGTAATTTACACTATTTAAAGTGATCAAACAATCTGAAACCTTGTCATTTTTCTACATAGTAAAACTGAAATAAGAAAATTTATTGTTCTCACAACTCAGACTATATCAAATAAATAAACCTTTCCTCTTGTTAAACCAGCATATTTATTTCTCCAGTTTGCGTCCATATACGTCACATATTAAGATTGTATGTAAAAACAAAAAAATCAACAAACTGGTGGAATAAGTGTAAGGATAATGAAAGAAATCATCATAAAGAGGTGTATCGAAACAATAACAACAATAAAAAAGAAAATAACAAAAAAGAGGCAACTGGTTTTCGATCCTAGCTCTTCGGAGCCAAACGAGGACAAACTTGTAAATTTTGTGCACAACGTTTAAAAAAATACTAAATTATGAACAGCCAAGAAACGAAACAGAAGAAAATAGCTAATGTTATCATTGCCACACACACATAGATACACACACACATACACGTGTGTGTGTTTGTGTGTTTGCGCGCGTGTGAGTGGGTATACAGGGTGTGATGGATAAATTGCAGTCTAAATTACGCAAAAATGAAAATAACACTGACATCTCATTTTAAGATATATTTAGCAAAATTACACAAAACTATCTTGACATACTAAAGAGCAAATTTATTCAATAAAATCGCCATTGGCTTCAACCATGGCCTCCAGACGATTTCGGAATCTCCTGCAACTCTTCTGGGCGGTCTCCTTGTTTAATTTGGCGAATGCTGCCATAATCCTTTCCCTCAGGTCATCTTTGGTGTTACAAGGGGGTTGCAATTTATGGTTGCAGTTTAGAGAATTAGGCAGCCAGATGTAAGGGATGATATGGTCGCAGATATTGACAGCTCAGACTGTGTTTTCCTGCTTGTGTGGCATGGTGCAGAGCCCTATTGCCAGACCTAGGGTTTCCAGCAGCCACCCTCTTGACCCAGGACAATACTACCTACTCAAGGCACTTTATATAGGTCTACGAGTTGAATCTGAGGCCCTCACCTAAAAATTCGGGAGTTATTTTCTTATCAGAAGGATCTGAGTAAGTTTTCCGAGCTGCCGTACCTTCTTAATCACCATTAGACTCATCCAACTCTTTCCGAATCCTCTGCATTGTCCTCAGATTGACACCCAAACACTCTGAAATGTTCGTATTGCAACTTCCGGCGCGAAAACCAAGCTGTTCAGCATGCCGTTCCCAAATTTCTGGCTGATTGAATTGCGTTATAGTGCTTTTTTTTCCTCATAGACGGTGCCTAAATAACCCTACTATACTGAACATCTGACAAAATCAAAAAAAAAACTGCATGCGCGAAATAAAAATTTAAAATGTCGACAATTTACCTATCACGCCCTACATATATATATATATATATATATATATATATATATATATATATATATATATATATATATATATATATATATATATATATATATATATATATGTATATATAAAAATAAACAACGCGCATGCGCGTAATAAAATTTAAAATGTCGACAATTTACCTATCGCGCCCTATATATATATATATATATATATATATATATATATATATATATATATATATATATATATATATTACTTTTTGGAGTTTGACCTTTGGTATAAGAAATTACAGTGCATTAATAGACGCCGAAATTGTTGAAAAGATAAAAAGACATCTCTCAAATAGTCATTCTTCTTCTTTCTTCAGGACGTGGGCAATCATGGCTCACCACAAATCTCTGTCCTTTGTAGCTCTTAATAAATTGTGTCTTTCCGCTATCTCTCCTAAACCCTGTTCTGTCAACCATTTACTCAAGGTAATTCGGCAGATTATGCACTGCTTTCCTCTGTAACCTCTTGCCTTCAGTATGCCCTGTCCGTGTCAAGTTTTCTAGGCCCTCTTTCCTCACTATGTACCCTACAATTTTGAACTGTCTCTTTCTGATGTTGAGCATGTGTCCTTTTTGTTTCCATTTACTCTAAAACATAATCACATGTTCAGTCAATGTTAATCTCAGCATCCTTCTGTAGAACCACATTCCTGTTGTTAGAAGTCTCTTCTTCATCTATGATGAGATTTCGCAGCAATCACTGCCATATCGCGGTACCAATATTACATGATAATTCAATACTCTTCTTTGTTGCTAGCGAAATTTTCCTGCTTCTTAATACTTTGCTTAGAGTTTCGAAGGCATCTTTCGCTATTCGAAATGCATCTTCGGAATTGCTTGACTTTTTAATAATTTTATTGATCGCATTCACCGCTGTTCCTTGCTAAAATGAATACAGATCCCATGTATCATTTCTAAATAATATTGTTTACATACGTTTGTAGATGCTTGAGTATATTGCGATTTTGTCCATGTTTCCAACTTTGTCGGAGTTACACACGTTAAGTACAGGATAGTGTTCTACCTTTACTCAGATATTGATTTTTTTTTTTAGTTTTGAAAATCCTCGCCTAACATAAACTTCTGTATTTTCATTTGCAATACTGGACTTTTCTTGAAAAAAACAAAAAAGAACATATTGATTTCAGAAAAATTAGACTTTTTCTCTCTGAATTGTTTTCTATGATACCGACTTTTACACGAATATATACGGAATATTTGTATTTTTTTTTATAATGATACACATTTAACATTACTACTGTCTACTGTTATTGTTATAAAGTCTCAATGGAGTGGCGCCGGAAAGGTTTAAGAAACTTGAGCTTAATAACTTAATATGACTTATACGTTTTAAGTTCAGGATAATACTCTACTTTAACTCAAAAGTCTGTCTATTATTCTTGAAAAAAATGTCCTCAGCCAGGAGAGGCTAAGATGTAATGTTAGAATATTCAAGAAATTGCGGAAGTTTTGTCAAATGTTTTGGTTTTCGACAATTACACGAGTATAGTATAGGAAAAAATGATCATGAT